TTCAGGTGTATACATGGGGATGGGGGAACTACAGAAAAGCTGACCCAGCAAGATGTCTCCTCTAAATTGAGACAATAGGCCTAGAAGAGTTAGTTCTAAGAACTATTCTTCTAGTTCTCCTGTCAGTTTTACATTATCTTAAAAAAACAAACCAAATCATCTGAACAAACAGAATGCCAAACTAAATGAAGACCACACCTACTTTGCCCCTGGAGCACACACATGCACATTCACATGCATGCATATAGGTACCATACATGCTCCCACACACATGCAAGCACACAGTGGAGACTCACAGCAGCCCAGAGTCGTCCAATCTTGGGACTACTGTCCCACTGGAAAAACACTGGCCCAAAGTATGAATCCCTATTCTCATCGCAGAGATTTGAAAGAACCAAATATATCTACCAAATACTACTGGACCATGCCACTGTAAGGAAATTCACTTTAAACATGCATGGATACATGTATGTGCACACTGAAACATCAACACAAAGTGAATAAATATTTTGCTGGAAAGCCAGATATTTAGTCCAACTTTCTTACTGTCCCTTCAGATTTGGAAAGTACATAAAGTCTACAGTACAAGCAGCTGTAAGGGAAAAATATAATGTAAGTTATTACAAAGAGAAAAGGTGAATCAAAGATAATTACTACAGAACGACAGCATTCAATTTTAAAAGCAAACAAGAAACTTTGTGACTTCAGGAGAAATATTTCAAAAGCATAACACACTGGCATGAGACTATAATCCCAGATAATTAGGAAGTCAAGGCAATAAATATACTTAGAAAATGTAAAGAACTCATAAAACTCAATAAGCCAACAATAACAATAAAACTGGGTAAAAAAATTTGAACACATACTTCACATGGGGTTGGAGAGATGACTTGGTGGTTAACAAAGGGAATTCATATTATCTGAATATAGATAAGTGCTAAGTAGGAAAGGGGGTCTGCCTATAGTCCCACAGCTAATAAGGCATGGACCCCAGAAGAAGGATCCCCAGAGGAAGCTAGCTAGCCAGACTAGCTGTATCTGCAATTTCTACCTTCAACTGAGAGATTTAGCCTCAATAAAGTGAGATTGATAGAGGAAGACTTCCTACACATGAACCTCTACATACATGCATTCACACACACACACATGCAAATACATCCATATACACCACACACATACATACATACATACATACACACACACACACACACACACACACACACACACACACACACAGAGAGAGAGAGAGAGAGAGAGAGAGAGAGAGAGAGAGAGAGACATGCTCATTAAGTGTATAAGAGGATAGTCAATATTATTTGTCACCAGGGAACAAACAAGACCACAATGAAATACTCCTCCTGCTCACCATGACAGCTACAATAAAAAGACCAACAGTAACAAGCAATGACGAGGACTTGAAGAAATTCTAACCTTCAAAATCTCTGGTGAGAAATGTAGGGTAGAGCAGCATGTGTGGAAAACAGCATGGCAGTTTTGCAAACTGTTACGCATAGTCTTACAATGTGACTAGCAGTTCTACCAGGCGGCTATCCATGAGCCATATAAAAACCTGTCCACACAGAAACTAGGGTGCAACTGTTCATGGTATCATTTTTCAGGACAGCCAAAAAGTAGTATGGTAGTTTGATAGGAATTGCCCCCATAGACTCACATGTTTGAATGTTTGGTCATGTGGCACTAAGGAAGTGTGGTCTTGTTGGAATAGGTGTGGCCTTGTTGGAGGAAGTGTGCCACTGTGGAGGTTGGCTTTGATGTCTCACATGCTCAAGCTAAGCCCAGTGTGGCACTAAGTCTCCTGTACCTTCAGATCAAGATGTAGAACTCTCAGTTCCTGCTCCAGCACAAAGTCTGCCTGCATACCACCATGCTTCATGCCATGATGATAATACTAAACCTCTGAAACTGTAAGCCAGCCCCAATTAAATGTTATGAGTTGCCATGGTCATGGCATCTCTTCACAGCAATAAAACCTTAAGTAAGAGAAGCAGAATCGAATTGTTTACCAAACAATAAATGTCCTTGACACAAACTACAGTCACCAGGGAAGAGGAAAACTATATTGAGGAATTGCCTCCATCAGACTGGCCATTTTACATATTTGTGGAACATTTTCTTGATTGAGTAATGATTGATAAGGAGGGTCCTGGCCACTGTGGGTGGTGCCACCTCTAGGCTGGTAGTCCTGGAGAGTATCAGAAAGGAAGGTGCACAAGCAATGGGAGCAAGCCAGTAAGTAAGCAGTATTCCTTCATGGCCTCTGCTTCAATTCTTGCCTTGGCTGTCCTCATGATGAATTATTACAAAACAGTATAAGAAGAAATAAACCCTTTACTCCCCAAGTTGCTTTTGGTCATGGTATTTTATCACAGCAACAGAAAGCAAACTAGAACAGCAAATAAATAGAATGTGGGTATGTCTAGTTATAGGAATACTATCTACTGGGTAATGAGAAGTACTGATAAGTACTGCAAGATGTGTGAACTTCAACATGTATAAACATGTACGTTGGGTTGAAAGCAGCCAAACACAAAGGTCACACATCATATGATCTAGTTATAGGAGAATATTCTGGGACTAGAGAAAGTCAGTAACATGCTTGCCACACAAGCAAAAGGACCTGAGTTTGGATCTCCATCACCCAAGTAAAAAGCCAGGTGCAGTACATGCCTGTGATCCCAACACAGAAAGGGTGAGGACAGGAAGATCCCCAGGGCTGCTGGCCAGCAAGTTGAGCCCAGTTAGTGAGCTCCAGGTTCAAGGAGAGACCCTGCCTCAAAAATAAGGTGGAGAGTAGTTGAAGAAGAAACTCAATGTAGAGCTTTTGTCTTCAAGCACACAGGACAGACACACACACACACACACACACACACACACACACACACACGAATGCATTACCTAATGCATTACCTAAACAGAGATACATGATTGCTAAAAGCCTTTTTTTCTTAACAATCCCAAACCTGTAACAATCCAAATGCCCAGCAACAGGTGAATAAATAACCAAAATGTGACATCAAACAAAAGGCACTATTACTCAGCAATAGAAAAGGAATAACTTGATAATATGTTCATTGACATGTATAGATCTCAAAAATTATGATGAATAAAAACAACAGACACCAGGATACATAGTGCATGTTTCCACTTAAATAAGAAATTCTAGAAAATATAGATTCAACAATAGTGACTGATCACAGTGATTGCCTAGGGGGAAAAAAAAAACAGAAAGAAACTGGCTGTACAGAAAGTTTTTAAAGGGATCATGATGTGCTCTATGGAACATTTTGCATGTATGTACTGTCAAAACTCATCAAACTATACACAATAAATTACAAGATACTCTATATGAGTTATACCTCAATTCAGCTGAACAGGATGAAAAACAATCATTCCTGATTACTTGGACACTGTCTATTTAAGATTTAAAACAGTTTCCTGTGCTTCATTTCAGCCAATAATTCAGGGGGCAAGTTAATTAAAAAAAAATCAAAGAAATGTTTCAACAGCAAATAGGCCAGCTCTTCATGACAGTGTGTTTCACAAACAGAAATGAAAACAGAGCTAGGAGATCATAGTCATAGGGCCTGATTCTGACCCCTAATCCCACCTCTGCCAGCCTCTGTTTCCACGTCTGTAAAATACATAATTCAGGTCATTGCACATCGTATTCAAAATTGTAAATTTTGTTTACTACCTTAAGACAGGCTCTCTTTCAAGGCAAAACTCTATGACAGCAAGAACTGGACCTGTCTTATTTCACACTGATCCTCACTGCCAATGCTTACCTACTATAGAATAAGCACCAAACTGCATGTCCAAAGGCCTTTGACCCAATGAACTGCAGACTAGAGGGACTTTTGACAAGCCCAAAATGACTGACAGGCAGTCTGTTGTGTTCACTGAGGCTGCAGAAGCACAGTGAAACCAAACCAGGTGGGATCTTTCAGGCCATTGGGAAGTTCTGTATTTATCATTAGTAGCAGAGGCCCTTAAGAGACTTAAACAGGTTGTTGCCAATGGGGCATGACTAGAGTTAAATTTTGGGGAAGAAAAAAAAAAAACACATTCTAGTAGAGTGTGGGAAGAATCATATAATTGGGAAGGAGGATAAAGATTTTAGAGTGAAGATAGCCCAATAAAGAGGCTGTTGTAGCAAGCCACTTAAGAGACCATGGTAGATTTGTCCAAGGGAATAGAAATGTAAGAATGGACTGAATGCTGATACAATAGGACAAATGGATAGGTCACAACTTTGGAAATAGGGAAAGGGAAAACATTGGGCTTCCATTCCTCATCTGCAGAACAGACTGTTTATACTCTACCTATGTAATATTTGTCTTGCCATATGATGCAGTAATATGAAATATTATCCATTTAATTCAGGTGTCTGATACAATAATTTCTGTAAATAGTAAGTCACTGTTATTGTTGTTATTACTGTCATCCCATGGAATGTCCTGTCAGAAGCTAAACAGCAAAAACAGAGACTAGGAATGTACTAGCCACAGAAGCTGGGTAAAGCATATTAAGCTGTGCGGATCATGCAGACTACGTCACCTGAGACAATGTTCCAAATAAATACGTGATACCGAATAGATACTTTATCTCCGCTTCACTCAGGCCTTGGAGACCACTACAGGCTGAGAAAACACAGGTAGTATGATCATAGATAACCATTTGGTAAACTGAGGCACGAGAGTGGCTACAAATAAAACCAAGGAATAGGTACAGAAGCAGGACACGGACATTGATATGAAGCTTTTCATTTCTGTCTATGAACTAGATCTGCAGAGCAATATGAATCTACAGCACAGATGTGCGCGCGCACACACACCACGTCTGCAGGTCTCTTGCAAACAAGGCCCTGTCATCCCTTGGCTTAACGCCGAGCATCCGCTCACCATCCCAGCTGGTCTGTGGCTTCCTTGCCCCTAGCCCTAGACTAACGCAGAGTTCCAGATTCCCGGAGCCCCACATACCTTAGCTTCACGCTCTCGTTCCTCCGCAGTCTGGGCGCGCTTCATGCTGCCACTAAAGCCTTCTTCGCCACCGTGGGCCGCGTCCACCCTCGCCCTGGACCCCGCCTCCTGTGTGTAGTTCTCTCAGTTGCTCTTTCCCGCCTGGCTCCATTCTCTCTAAGAGCCGCAAGAACTACGCTTCCCAGGATGCTTCGCGAGACTCCCGAGAACTCCTTGGGCTTCAGAGCCGAATTTCTCAAGTCAGCCAGCTGAGCTAGCTTAGTCCGCTACGCGACCCGCCGACGGCCCGCAGCCCAGGGAGAACTACATTTCCCAGTGGTAACGGGATTCACCATGTTTTCCCGTGCTCCTCTGGGCCTGCGGCAGCCCGCGCTCTGGGCACTATAGCAACGGTAACTAGCTGAGAGCGAACGCAGAGGTGAGTACCCTGTGAGGTGGGGGCCGATGCAGGCTGGCCAGACCTCCCTCTATCTCACAGCCGAGGGCCTGGGGTCCTCTCCGAGGCCTGGGGAAGGCCTGGGATTCTTGCGTGAAAAGCAGTCCATCCCGACACACCTCCACATTCAGGCCTGCATCAGTTCGCCCTGACCGCCTGCCAAAACAGAAACCTAGCTGATAAGAATTGGCAACCCTGTCTAAATCCTGCAATTCGAAGATCACAGTCACAGTTAGCTCCATTTCCCAGGATTTGGAATTGGATTTAGTACCAAAGCCTCCCAAGGGACTTGTTTCTGTTGGTGGTGGTGGTGGTGATGGTGGTGGTTGTCGATTTTTAAAAATAGGGTCTCCATATGTACCCCAGACTGGCCTTGAACTAGTTTTTTAGCCCATGATGGCCTCAAATTCAGTAATAGGTCTTGCCTCAAGTTCCCACCACCTCAGTTCCTAGTGGCCTATCTTTATTACTGTTTCTCATCTGAATACTCCCGTAGTCTGTTAAAGCCATTATAAGCAAAGACATTGTTTAAACTCTGTGCCTGGCATTCATTTATTCATTCAATAAATGTGAACATTAATGCCCACCATGTGACATCAGATAGCAGGGGGACTGTTTAGGGGAGTCAGGGAACCGGTAAGAGGATGCTAGAGAGATGGGGGAAGGTACAGGAACAAATAATAAAGCAAAAAAAAACAATGATATAAATGTGAAAATATGTGCTAAATTAATAATGAATTATAAGACAATGAATTTGATGAACAACTCTGAAATAATAACAGAGGCTATTGCTGTAAAAAAAAAAATAAGCCATAGCCCTGTGTGATGGCACACTCATGAAAAATCCAGAGTTTACACAGGGAATGGTGGCACTTTAATCCTAGCACTCCGAAAGCAGAGAGGCAGGTGGATCTCCGAGTTACAGGCCAGCCAGGTTTACATAGACACTGTCTCTAAAAAAGAAGAGAGAATTTGAGGCCAGAGTGCTTTGTGTTCTTGGGGAATTTGAGGTCAGCCTGGACGGCATAGGTTTCCTTTGAAAAAGAAAATCTAGAAACTGAGATGACTAATAGGGAATAGAAAGGGAAATTTTGGGTGACAGTTGGGCTGGGCTGTGACATACGAGGAGACAGGTAATGAAAGAGCCTTTGGTGTAAGATTAAGGAAGGTAGAGAACAGTGTAAGTGGAACAGAGAGAGCAAGGTGGGAGGATTGGCAGTGGGATTGGAGAGGCCATGCAGCATGATGGAAGATGTCTTAGCCTCTACACTCTTTGAATTCTGGGCCCAAAAATTCATTATACATCAATCCTAGACTTCATTGACGGCATCTACCCACTATATGCCAGTAACACTTTGCTTCTCAGTTATGATAACCAAAAGTATCACCAAACAACTAATATCTGGATGGATGACCTTGAGCAACTGAGCTAGTTTGTGTTAGCTTCTGTTTGTCAGGAACCATTTGAGTATCCATTGCATATGCATCCTGTAAGCACAATGAACATTTAGTATGTGTTAGCATCATCTTCTGTCATCATTCTCTGAGATGTAAGTCCCTGGCAGTGTGGTTCTCAGCCTACTATGAGTTCTAGGCAAAGTTCTGGACCCTCTCTCTACGAGACATTCTTCATGCAGATATACATAAAATCATCGTAAGCCAAGTCTCAGCTTTTAGACACTGAAATCCAAGAGGTCCCTTTACCCATTCAAAGGACTCTTTAATGAATGATGCTCACTGAATGTGCCACACTCAGTACCAGATTCTGAGACAGAACTGAACAAGATGAATAAGCTCTCTACTTTCTTGGTCTTCACATTCTACAATCAACATTCTAGAACTTGGAAGTCTCTTCCTTACAAGGCTCTTCACTAACAGTTTATATCTAACTTTCTAGGATGGTCCAAGTGGAAATAGAGAATACCTATTTATTTATTTACTATACACAGTATATGCATATCCACATGCAAAACTAAGTTATTGTGGTGTGTTTCTGTGAAGAAAAGAAACTAAAAATTCTAGAGCAAGCAAGACAAGCCAATATGTTGAGGTAACTCATCCCTGGAACCTGAGGTAACAAAGGAAGGGTGCAACAAACATGAAAATGCATCACAAACACATGGAGCCTTTTTCACAGAGCTTGTAAGGGGCTATGCACTTGCACACCATGCAGACAATTGGAATTCCTAGACTCTCAACATCCCTGGCAATTTGCTAAATACCTTGAGCTTGTAATCTCACTTGCTTTTTAGAGTAACAATGAGATGGGTATAATTTATTCTATTTTAAGATTATGTAAATTTAATGACCAACTACTAGATGACAGAACAAATTATTTGCCTCGAGTTCATGACCTGAGTTTGTTTTTTGTTTGTTTTCCCAGAATTCATGCTGTCTTTAAGGAAAGGAGTAGGGATAGGAAACATGTCTTAACTTTGGAAAGGTTTCTTTTTGTTTCAGATAGATGGATAAGAAAAGGAGGAATGCTAATCTTACCTCATTTCCTAAGAAAACTGTAGGAAGTACTCTACAGAAAGAAGACCCCCTTCATGATTGGATGCAGTGTTCTTTCTAGAATAGGAGCTTTCATCTTGCTCAGGCAGCACATGTGGGCAATAACATGTCCATTAAAGTTCTAGTTTCTTATTCACTTTATTTGGCTCATTCCATTGCATAGTTGATGCAATAACTTACAAAGCGTTTGTTTGAATTTTCTTTTCTCCACAGATAGGCCATGTCTGGTCCAAGTGATGAGACAGCAGGAGACCTGCCGGTGAAAGATATAGGTCTAAACCTCTTTGGAGTTGGAGGGTTACAAGGTATGGCCACCTGTTATTTATTACAGTTATGAACTTTGTTCAGTAATTTCTGTACTTTTAATTTAAAGTATTTCTGATAGTCATACAAACCCAGCCATTTAAGTAACTATATAGCTCTTGATTGGACTAAACAAGATGGAGTGTTTAAAACACATATGGTATTTTACTGCATGCATCAATTATCAACAGCTCATAGCAAATGCAAGATCCCCCTCTGTTCTGATAAAGAGTTGTTATAAATCATCTTTTTAAAATTCCACACATCAGTAGAAACTGCATAGAGTATCAGGCCTCCAAACTGAATTGCCTGGTTTAAATCACATTCACCATTAAAACACTTCTTTATGTTTAAATTTTATATGAGAGGAAATACCATATTTTAAAATTTTTGCCTTTCAAGTAGAGTATCTCAAAATGGCCTGTTTATGCAAGTGATAGTGAGTTTTCAATCACATTAATATACATTAAAGGCTTTCTTTATCCTTTTATCATTTAGTTGTTCCTGTAGAGCTGAAGAGTACTTTCAAATGAGAAAGCAAAGCACTACTTTCAAGAACAGCATGGACTGGAGAGCCAGGTTCATGTTGTGGACAATGCCAGTCAAACCCCTTGTGCCACTGACTTTGCTTGTAGGAGGCTGGAAGTTCGAAATGTATCTTAAGGACTCTCCTTATGCCTTTTGATTATAACAATGTCAACGGCAAGATTTAGCTACTGTAGGAAGGTAGTCAGTGTATTGATCATTGAGAACAAAATTGTCCACAAATATTATGAAAAGGAAGGATATTTAGGCTTTGCTTTAGATTTTGGAGCCAGTATCAGGTATTCAAATACAAATAAAATAAGTATTTAAAACTATTGAGTTTTAGTACTGTGTAAGTACTATTGGGTTTTGGTATTGTGTAAGTCCAATCCTTATTATTAGTAGCCACCCTCAGTCTTTGATATCTGATTAAAAATTATATATATATATATATATATATATATACATATATATATATGTATTTAAAAATTATAGAAGTCTGTTGTGTTGTGTTTTGTTTTGTTTTTGAGATAGTGTCTTACTGTGAAGCCTTAACTGCCCTGGAACTCACTATGTATACCATGCTGGCCTCGAACTTGCAGAAATTGCCTACCTCTGCCTCTGCCTCTGGGATTAAAAGCATGTACCACTATGTCAGATCTAAAAGTTAATTTTCAGTATATTAAATAGCTTGTAGAGAATTGATCTGTGAAGTTTTCCAATTAGGGGTTTTTTTGGTTTTGGTTTTGTTTTTTTAGAGGATTTGTGTTTGTTCTATAGTTTGTTTCTATATCCTAGCTCCCTAACTCAGAAAAAAAAAATGTCCTAATCATATTATGTTCACTGAATTGTTGTAGTTAAATATATACATATTTGCAGACACAAGGACTTCTTACTGCTGCCATGTTAGTGATTAACCCTTGCACATGCTCATCATGTGCTGTGTGCCATTGAGCTGTGTTCCCAGACCAGGTAGCCGAGCTTTTTCAACTATGAGGCTTTACAGCACTCAGAATAGGAATTACAAATCTTTTAAATCAGTTCCTTCCTACATTCTGAAAAAGTGACTAAGTTCATGCTAGAGAATGCAGGTGTTGCTCAGATCCCTAATACTATACATGAAGTATTAATCACAGTAATGCTCCATCTCACCTAAGATCATTGCCATGAAAAATGCTGTAACATTTTCTAAAGAAAAACGACTTAATTTGCAGGTCAAAGTGGGGAATGGGTGGAATTTGAGTGTGATGGTGTATGCCTGTAATCCCAGTACTTGGAAAGT